TGCCGCCATGCCTGGCCATTTGACAAAATTTAATGCTCATTTAATATTTTTTAAAAATACTTCAGAAAAGTAGGTACAGAGGGGAATATCCTTAAGTTCATGAACAATACCTGTGAAAAATCCATTAACATTTTAATTAATGGTGTAAGACTGAACACTTCGCCTAGAAGACTGGTAATAAGTTCCACTTTTTGTGAACATATTGCTGGTGATTCTAGCCAGTGAGAAAAAATGAAATAAAAGACATACAATTGAAAATGGGGATGCAACTTGTCCCTATTTGCCGATGACATGGCTACTTACACAGGAAATCTCAATGAGTCTACAAAAATATTGCCTCTTAGAATTAATAAGGCCAGGCATGGCAACACCTGCCTGTAATCCTGGCACTCGGGAGGCTGAGGCAGGAGGATCACTGTGAATTTGAGGCCAGCCTGGGCTACACAGTGAGATCCTGTCACAGCCCCCCCAACCCAAAGTAAAATAAATTGTATAAATCAAACTCACCAGCTGTTAAATAAGAAATCTGTTGCTGGGTGTGGTGGTGCCTGTAATCCCAGTTACACAGAGGCTGAGGCAGAAGGATGATTTTTAGGCCAACCTTGGCGAATTAGTAAGACCTTGTCTCAAAACAAAATAAAATAAAGTTTTTTTGTTTTGCTTTCTGAGATAGGCTATCACTATACATTCCACACTGGACTTGGAATAATATGTTGGCCTCAAACTAGCAGCGATCCTCCTGTTTCAGCCTCCCTAGTGCTGGGATTACAGGCATGTGCCACCATGCCCAGCTTCAAAATAAACATTTTAAAAGGACTGGAGATGTAGTTCCGCGGAGTAGCATGCACAAGACCCTAGGTTTGGTCCCCAGCACTGGAAACAAAAGACCCCAAACAAACAAACAAGCACCTATGGTTGCTTTCCTCACGAAGGCTGCCCTCCTTCCTCGGAGTGAGCTTTTATCTTGCGTTTTCCCCTTTTACTCAGCCCAAGTTCACTCTGCAGAGCCAGTGTCTCCCTCCCTCTTCACTTTCCCTTTTATATGTAAGCTTTGCCGCTGCTTAAAAACAACAAACAAAAACAGAACAAGAACCTATTCTCGGTCCTTCCTTGGCAGATACGAAGTCAAATTTACACTTTTAAGTGACTGCATCTCACCCCCTTGTCTTTGCACACTCGACTCTGGCCTTGTGCGCGCGTGTGGCCTCTTAGTTCGCGCAATTAGCCTCCATCCATCTGAGGCAAACAGCTGCCCTTCGCTTACATCTTGTCATACAGCAGCGGCACACTTCCGTCCAGAAGGCAGACCTACTACAAGGGCCTTCGTAGGACGAGGGCAGCAAATCCCAGGGTCCCATTGTCCTGGGACATGGCCTAGAGTTGGGGCTGGACTCCATCTACCGGGCAAGAGTCACCTAAGAGAAGGCGAATCAGTATCCGGTCTTACCTGGGTCTGAGGTCAAAACTGTAGATGAACTTTGAAATCTAAAATTGATTTTTCCAGCCCTGGTGGTGCATTCTTATAATCCCAGCACTTGGGAGGCTGAGGCAGGAGGATTGCTGTGAGTTCAAGGCCAGCCTGGGCTACACAGCGAGACCTTGTCTCAAAAAACTGAAAATAAATAAATAAATTTAAAATGTTCTTAGTCCATGTTTGAAATACACAATGATCACAGTGATCAGGAAGGAATTGGTGCGAAGTCACTTTTTTGAGCCTCTTGCCCACCCAGTCTGAACTAATTCGTATAAAACAAATGCTGGAAAAGTTATTGCCATAGTTTAAGGGACACCAGCTCCCACTCCGATAACCCCAATAAATGGCGTTTTGTGCCAGGGTAGCACAAGATCTGGCTAAGCTATCCTGAGGCTGGCCTGGAACTTTTAATCCTCCTGCCTCAGCCTCAGAGTGGCTGCGTTAACCTTTTTTATTTTCCCTGGTTATGAGTAAGGTGCTGTTGGTTATGTTGCATTCTCTTTAGTTTCCTGTATTAAAATTGTTGCGCTAGGACCAGGGATTTGGCTCAGTGGTGCCACTGCCTGCTTCGCAAGAGCAAGACCCGAGTTCAATTCCCAGTACCCCCCCCAAAAAAATTGTGCTAACAGAAAGGGTGATAGCTGTGTGTGTGGCAATGAAATGATGTAAATAAATTAGTAAATGTAAACACAGAAGAGAATACAGCACCCTCAATATTGTTAGTTATTCTTATTTATTTATTTATTTTTGGTTTTTTGAGACAGGGTCTCACTATGTGGTTGATACTGCCCTGGAACTCACTTATGTAGCCCAAGCTGGTCTCGAACTCACAGCGATCCTCCTGCCTCAGCCTTCTGAGTGCTGGGATGACAGGCGTGTGCCAGCACGCCCGGCCTTGTTAGTTATTCTTATTTAGTTATCGTTGCCACCCTGGGAGAGCTGATGTCTGCCTGGGGACTTGAGGAAGATGTCCCTGAAGGGACACCACCTCAGTGACTTCATACGAAGGTTGAGGAAGAGTGGTCAGGTAAGAAAACAGAAGGCTAAGGCATGGGTTAACCTGTTTTCCCTTCTCTTGCAAGGCATATTCAGGTCCTGACCACAGGGCCTTAGAATGTGACCTTCACAAAGAGTTAAAGATAGCATATTACAGCAATCCAAGCACACCCACGTTTCTAGCGGTGCAGCTCATAATAGCTAAGTCTTGGAAGTGGCCTACACATCAATTAATAGAAGAATGAATGAAGAAAATGTAGTATTACACACAGTGGAGTCCTACTCTGCCATAAAGAAGGATAAACTTGCGTCACTTGTAGGAAAATGGATGCGCCTTGAGACCGCAATGTTAAGAGACACCCATCAGACACATAAGCTTAAATATTACATGGTTTCTAGTACATGAGGAACTGCAAATATAAAATAACAGAATAAAAGATAATAGAAGACAGGGAGATAGATCTTTTGCAGATGGAAAAGGGGACGAAGAGGTGGAGGGAGAGGGTGGGAGGGGAGAAGGGGATGGAAAAAGAATTAAGATGCATCCTGTCCGTGCACCAACTCCCCAGGGGAGGGCCCTCATGTGCTGCAAACACATGCGCATAAAAGTAAAAATTGGAAAGCCGGGCGTGGTGGCGCACACCTGTCATCCCAGCACTTGGGAGGCTGAGGCAGGAGGATCTCTGTGAGTTCGAGACCAACCTGGGCTACATAGTGAGTTCCAGGTCAGTCTCAACTACATAGTGAGACCCTGTCTCAAAAAAAAAAAAAAAAAAAAACTTCACCAAAAGAAGGAATTATCTGCAGATGTGGTTGGTTAGTGCAAGGCTGCCCTGGAAATCCAGTCCAGTATGGATGGCATCTTTTTTTTTTTCTCGGTACCAGGAGTTGAACTCAGGCCCTCGCACCTGTGTGGCAGGTGTGGTGCCACTGAGCTAAATCCCCTGCCCAAGCATGCTTTTAAAATGGAAATCTGAGCCAGGATATAGCTCAGTGGTGCCACCACCTGCCTCACAAGTGCAAGGTCCTGAGTTTGATCTCCAGTACCCCCCAATCCCCACAAAAAACCCCCCAAAAGACAGAAATTTGAGCTGGGAATGGTGGCATATGCCAGTAATTCCAGCATACTGGGAGGCTGAGACAGGAGGATTGCAAGTTTGAGCCCAGCCTGGGCTACTAAGACCCTGTCTCCAAAAATTCAAAACGAGAGAAGAAAAATGTACGTTTGCTTGGTTTGATTTGGCAGTCTGAGGACTAACCCACAGCCCAGCGTGGGAGGAAGACGCTACACTGAGCTGTGGCCCAGCCCTACATTCTGTGTTTAAAATCCACCCTTGCTCGTTCAGCTGCAGAAAACGCAGGTACTTTGAGAGGCTAGGGACGCGGTGGCTCAGGAAACCACGAGCAGGTCTGCAATTACAGGCCGAGTGTAGCCTGTGGGGACAATTTCACGGTTGGGGTCATTTTAAGAAGCGGGAATATAAGAAATGAGAAAAGAGGCAGTCACCAGAATAACAAACTAAGATGTTACCTATGTGGTTACCCCTTCTTCCTTATTCTCTTTCTCATAATTGTTTTTTTTTTTAATTTGATTTTGTTTTTAAAGACGAGGTCTCACTATGTAGCCCAGGCTGGCCTGGAACTCGAGGCGACCTTCCTGCCTCAGCCTCCTGAGTGCTGGGATAACAGGCGTGCGTCACCGCGCCCGGCTCACTGTGTTGTAGCGGTTTAGGGATCCATCCAGACCGGCTGCCTGTTTGCCCGCTTCCCTCCACACCTGTCCGGGTCACAGGCCGCCTCAGTCCACCCGGGACTTGGCTTGCAGGCCGCCAAGCGGGGTCCACACCGAGCGCTACACCCCGGATGGAGCCGTGGGTCCTGGGGCAGGGCGGGGTTGAGGCGAGGCTGGCGGTGGCCGTGAACTGGGGACACGAGGGCCACACTCTCAGGACACTGCAGCCCCACGCCCACCGCGCTTCCCCGGGCCTGAGTCCCTCATTCGTCACCTCTGTGCCTTAGGGACGGAGATGGCTCGTTTTGCTGCCTGTGTCCTGTGAACACGCCAATAAAAGGGCTGTTATCGAATCCCCGGGATTTAGATAATGAAAGGCTGGTGGGAGTCTTAGGAGACCCAATAAAACCCTTTCATTAAACCTGGCAATGGCCATTAGACAGGTAGTTAGTGTCACTTGCTAGGTAATTGAATACTTTACAGGGTAACAGGAGGCGTCGAAGGGCGTCCGAGAATGCTTACTGTGCACCTACTACGCACAGGCAGCCCGCGTATAACACCGCTCATGCCCTCCCGGGCTGGTTTCCTTTCACAGCCCACGGACTGGGGGTGTTTCTAACAGTCAGAGAGTGACTTCCCTTACCTCCCCTCTTAGGAGGAGCGGGATGCTCTGAGGTCGGAGCCAGACTGGCGGAAGCTGAGAAAGGTATAACAGGGGAGGGGGAGTGTGTTCAACTGCTCAGCCGTGTCCCCGGCTCTGTGTATGTTTAAAATCTATTTTGAAACAGTCACACTGACCTGCGCAGGCCAATTTGAACTCGCGATCCTCCTGCCTCGGCCTTCGGAGCAGGTGGGATTCTAGGCGTGAGCCACCAGGTGCCGGCAGGATCCCGATCTTGTGTGCTGTGTTCTTCTGCCAATTCGGAACCACTGTGAAGTCGGAGGCAGGAACTTGCTGTAGCCCACCTGTGCTTCCGGGCGGGGGCAGCCTGCAGGGACCAGGACCTACGGCCCAAAACGGGTTACAGCCGGGACCCAGCGCCAGCCAAGCCCAGCCCAGCCCGGCCAC